GTCATTTGATTTCTTGACTACTGCTTCCATGAATGTTGACAGTTGATCGGAGCAAAGTGAAGTCTTTAACAGTACTGGGATGACTCAGACAGTGGGAGGCTTTGGCCAGCTGAGACCCCTCAGGTGCTCCTCTCCCTCTTAACGTGTCTCTCCACATGTTGGCTTGTGGGCACCTGGACATCATATAGGAGAGAAAGGTTTCCAGGGTGAGCACTCTATGAGAAACCTATAGAAACTATTTGCCCTTTTTAACCTGACCTCAAAAGTCATGGTATCACTTCCACCTTGTTCTCTTCTTCAAAGCAGTCACAGAGGCCCTCCTAGGTTGAAGGAGAGGGGAAATAAACACCCCCTTTTGATGGGAGAAGCATCCTACACCCAGTCTAAGATGATTGAAAACTTCCAGACTCTTATGATTGTCTGTCACAGGGTTTAATGATAGTAGAAACTGTCTAGAATTCTGTTTAGAGGTGTAAGGAACATTTCATTCAGGTAACAGATAGGCCTTGTGCATGCATGTGTATCACACACACACTCAGTAAGGGTGTGCATTGAGATGCCAGGATTGGGGAAGAGGAGAAAATGAAAGCAGGGGATTGCTAACCCTTATGCTGTACAATTACAAGATCTTCCCAGTCACTTAGAACATAAATGTAGTCCGGTGGATTTTTTTTTTTTTTTTAAAGAACACTAAATGTATCAGAGAGAGTCCCAAAGTGGAGATAGAAGAAAACAGATATGAAAAAAGAAAAGTCAAGAGACCAACAACAGAAAGTCTCTTCACAAAAGATTGCAGATCATTGCTTTGCCTGTGGAGAGGGCAGCCTGGGTAGGCGGGAAGAGCAGAATGGTGAACAAAGGCTTTAGAACATGTGGACCCTGGAGCCAGTCTGTGTGGCTGTAAGCTGCTTCTTATACCTCCTCTCGTGTTTTCTTTTCCTCAGTTGCAGTTGTTCTTGTTAAGTGCCGTCACGTCAGTTCCAATTCATAGCGACCCTGTTTAGTATTTGCAAGGAGCAGCTAATAAGTCTGAACTGCCAACCTTGATGTTCAAATGGTCCAATGCTTATCCTACAGTGTGCTACTAGTAATATTAGCCACCTCACCAGGTTGCTTGGTGGATGAAGTATGTCCATACCAGCTTAGCTCTTTGAACAGTGTATGAATGGTACATAGAAAGCACTCAGTCCATTAGCCATTTCTCCCTGACATCCTCTCCTTGCCTTTGCCAGATGCAAATATCATGTCCAATATGGGCTGTGGGCAGCCAACCAACCAAACAGAAGGATGGGGGTCTGTTTCCCCCTTAGGTCTGAGGGAGATGTGTTGGTCCAAGTTTGTTATGTGTTGGAATTCTATGTAGGTGGAAGACTTCTCACAGCTTCTCGGCTCCCATGAATCCACGGTTTGCATTCTACCTCCCACTTGTCCTCATTCCAACATATTTTAAAAATCAGCTCCACCTTTCAAGCACTGTCAAACTAAATTTTACTTTTAGTCTCTCTTGCATATTTAGAATTAGAACCTCCAGAGTCCTATTATGCAAATGAATGCAAACGATATGCAAAGAGTAGTGGCCCGAGATTGTGGGGAGGGGAGAAGTGAGCAAGCCAGCACAAAGGGCCTTGAATGAAAATTTGCATCTGTTTAGGAGCGTCCTGGGTAGAAGGCCTTGCACATTTATTGGGACAATGTGTGTCTCATTCAGTCATTAACCTTTTATATCAAGGAGGAGAGGTAAGCTCTTGTCAGGTTTCCATATTGAAGGTGACAGTAGAGGTTGGAGATGGTGTTTAGACAGTGTGACATTGTAGGGGTGTCTTATGTTACTTTGAAATAATGTCCCAGGCATGGTGTATGCTGTGTCCCCAACCAGCTGTGTGTCCTGGGACATCTCTAAAATGAGGGGGTTAATTAGGTGAACTCTCACTGTGCCATCTAAATGCCACCCTCCAAGTGAAAACTCTTTGTCCCCAGGATGGCATTATCCATTTATCATGCCAAAGATTGACTCTGATGTCTAAAGAAGAAAGGGCTGAGGAGTATTTTAACAGACTTAAAGAGAGAGGAAAATGGCCTCAGGAGATGCCGGTTACTTGGGGGTGGGGGGTGGGGGAAGCAGTGTCAGCAGCAAGGCCACCTGTGTTTCCTTATTACCCTGTAAGTCTTACAGCAAAGAGTCCAGTCATCTGCTTCCCACTAGGGAGGATTTTAGCCCCTGGAAAGCTCATGGTGGGAAAGTCAGTGGAATTTCTTTCCCTGGGTATCATAAAGACCAGGATATAGTGACCCTCTGCCTCTGGAGTGCCGTGGAAGTGTTCCTGGAGGTGGGGGACCCTTACCCACCAGTACCTGCTCCAAGGGTCAGCTGGTGTCTCTCAGAAAACTTTGAAGCACCCTTAACACTTCTGTCAAAAGGCAGTATCCTCATCTCTAGTCTCTAATTCTCTGGTAGAGTAGTGGTTACAAATTGGGCTGCTAACCTCAGGGTCATTAGTTCAAAACTACCAGCTGTTCCACGGGAGAAATATGAGGCTGTCTGCTCCCATAAAGATTTATAGCCTCAGAAACCCTGTACAGGGTCACTATGAGTCGGAACCAAATCCACAGCACATGACAACAAGTCTCTGATTGTATCCGACAGCTCTGGTGCTCTGCCTCAGGAATCCTCTGAGTCCACAGTTTTAACTCCTACTGTGGCTGCAGCAGCCAACTGGGCACAGGAATCATAATAGCCCTCAGAAGGCTCCAGGGCTTCTCGGACTCAGCCAAGTGATGTCTGTGCTCAAGCATGGAAGTGTAGTGGAATTAGCACCCATAGGTGGCAGTGGATTGGTTGGGTTGGGGCTCCCTTGACCAGCACAGCTCCTCGGAGGTCCCCAGCAGGTGTGAGTAGCCCACCATGATCATAGATGACGCCTTGGATTGGTTTTCCTTGCTTCCTTCATCTGAGTGCCCTTGGGAATACACTTCCTAACATGCACTCTCTGTACACAAGCCCTCATTCCAATCTCTGCTATGTGAGGAAACCCCAAGTACAAGTACAGTAGATACTTAGATTGAACTTAGGAGCCAAACAGGATTGTAAGGGAATGTCTGTCACAGCATCAGAAGTCAGGACCTTAAAATTGTCCTGGGAACATTACCTAGTCTGCAAGGGCTGGACTCACTCTGAGCCAGTCACAGAATGGTATGCATGATTCTTTCTATGGATGTCCTCTTCTTCCATCTGTATCATTGGTGGAGGTTGACTGGGAAAAGCACACATTCCAGAGACAGCCCTGGTTTCAAATCATACTTCTGTGGTGTGACTTTCAACATAGTACAGAGTCTCCCAGAGCTTCAGTTGAATACCCTGTGGAGTGGTTATGCGACCAGATGAAGTGCTAGAGCCAGGCACAGAGTCCACGTGCTTAGGAGTGACTTGAACACACAGAGCATACTTTTGCTGTGTGGTCTGAGCCATAAATGCAAGTTTAAAGAAAATACATTACTTAGGGCAAATTGATGATCCTAGAGACGGTGGGTGCTACATTCTGTTTGTGCTACAGTCCTCAATCTCCCCACATTCATTCATTTAAAGGGGGGGGGGGCACTGCTCACCACACCTTTAATGAGGAAACTGTCTCAGAGGAAGTCCTCCTCGCTGCTTTCTTGAACGTCCCTAGAGCCCCTGTCTTCCCTTCTCAGTGCCTTGGCTGACCATCCCAGACACCCAGAATCACAGCGAGAATACCCACTATGTTCATTTGTCATGCTGGAATCTCATGGAGGAGGGGCTTGGAGAGTCACTAGATGGACACAGAGACCTCTCCCCATGGTCTACGAGGCTAGTAGGGATTAGGGTCACAAGAGTAGGATTACAAGAGTAACCAAGAAGAGGGTACATGTGATTCAGGAGTTGCTGGCGAGTCACAACCAGGCCTAAGGGCCTGCCAGACCCCTCCTCGCCGTAAAGCCCAGTTCAGTCCAACCCATGGCATGTTCTCTTATAGTGTGTAATCTGACCAAGTCGTATAGTGTGTAATCTGAGTCTTCTGTCTCACAGTTACATGAGGTTTTATTTTTAAATAAAGACAATATACTGTTGTAACTAATAAAGTCCACACATATTTAGAAGTGTTTTTAAATAGCAAGGTTTTGACTTTGTGGCACTCAGTGAACATTAAAGACTTTCACACAAAATCCCTGATTTTATTTTTAAAGTTCAAAAGGGCCGGCCACTCCTACTCAAAAACATTGAGCAGACAGCTACGTGCTCAATGTTTTTCCACTGTGAGTTCAGCCAGGCGAGCCTCATGGGAAAAGCAATGAAGCAGGATGACCACCATGATGCCTGCTGGCATTTGTGGGCTGTGTCTTCTACTCCAGATCTAGGTGCCCTGTCTCTAGACCCTGTCTCCTCCTACCTGGTACCAAAACATCTCTGCCTTATTTCAGGAATGTATGTGGATTTGTACGAGCCATTAAAGCTCAGTTATTTCCCTACTCATCTCAGTGTCCTCCAGGGTTAAGGAGAGGGTGGGTCCTCCTAAATTGTCAGTGAATGGATCTGAACAAGCAGAAATCTATCTATTGGTACCTCTGTCTAGTGTATAAACAGAGGCTTCAGAAAAGGACTGTAAGATTTGGTCAGCTCTGCCTGCCCAGGCCCTCCTCCTCAGCTCAGTATAATTCGGGCAGAGCTGCCAGCTTCCCTAGGTGGAACCCTGGCCCTTCGTGGCAATGTGAAAGCCACAAACCCCTCTTCCACATCCTAAGCTCAGCCTGTTCTTACAAGATAACCTTGGCCATAGGATTGAGTGCATATTTCAGAGGCGGTTTAGCTGCCTCTGGGTCTCCTGATGCTGTCCCTACCCCACATAGTTTCTCTGTCTTGTTTGAGAGTGTGATCTCCGGAATGTTGCAACATTTCTCTCCACCCCCATGGCTTTGCAGGGTCCTGGGTAAGGAAGGCCCAGCGCTGGTGTTTCATTTCTTCTCTCTGTTTTCTTCCCAAGGCTTCTTCCTGATCTGGGCACTGACTGAAGCTCTGGTACTTGCTGTCCAGGATTCATCTTCCAGGGAATCTCTTCAGGTCCTCCCCTCAGCCACGACTCCAGGCGCCATGGTGACAACACCCCCCAGCTCTACCAGACGCTCATCCACGGTGGATCTCCCTGTCTCTGTAGCGATTCTGACATACCATGATGATGGACCCCCCTCACAGGCCACAGCACCCACAGCAACAACACCGCTGCCACATTCAGTCAGACATCCTTCTACAAACCCCATCCCTTCCATCACGGTGACAGAAACCAGCCCTCATTCTGAAGGCCCCCTGCACAACAGGCCCCCTCCTGCTGTCATGGCAACCACATCCTCCCACTCAGAGGGCCACCCCCCAGAGGAGGTCACACCCACCATCCTGCTGATGAAGCTAACAGGAGGCATCAGTCGTCCCCCAGGGGAAGCTCTGCCCACTACCCTGCTGATTAAACCAACAGGAGCCACCAACCACCCCCAAGGAGAAGCTCTGCCCGCTACCTTGCTAACAAAACCAATAGGAGCCACCAACCACTCCCAAGAAGCTCTACTCACTACCCTGCTTACAAAACCAACAGGAACCACCAACCACTCCCAAGGAGAAGCTCTACTCACTACGTTGCTGACAAAACCAATAGGCGCCACCAACCCTCCCACCACAGCACCCATCCGGTCTACCACACGCCGCCCCCCAAGACCACCAGGTTCTTCCCGAAAGGGAGCTGGTGGTTCTTCACGATCTGCCCCACCTGCCTCCAGTGGCCACTTGGGGAGGAAAGAAAACCAGCGAGGGCGAAATCAGAGCTCCACACACGTGGGGCAGAAGCGACCCCTGGGGAAAATCTTTCAGATCTACAAGGGCAACTTCACAGGGTCTGTAGAACCAGATCCCTTGGCCCTCACTCCCAGGAACCCACTGCAGGGTTACTCGTCTTCACCAAAGGCCCACACCGGGGCCGCAACCACAGCACCCAGCAGTACCTCGTGGGCTTCTTCCGCCACCCCACTGGTGCTTGCAGGGAACAAACCAGGCCTTAGTAGAACAGGCCAGGGGGGTGGTCCCACCATCACCAGCCAAGAAGGGGAGCTGAATGCCACAACAGCCTCAGGTGCCCCTACTAGTCCACAACCTGCCCCAGTGCCTTCTCAGCATCCCCTTGGTGACCCGCAAGACAGCCCCAGCCACTCCTGGCTTACTGTCACCTCTGGCACCAACAGACCTCTCTCTGCCAGCTTTGGGGTCTTCACAGCCACCAGGGGGCCCACCCAGGCTGCCTTCGATGCCAGTGTCTCAGCCCCTTCCAAGGGGCTTCCTCAGGGAGCATCTACAAGCCCACTGGTCCCCACAGGGCCCCCAGTGGTCTCAGAAAGCACTGTTTCCCAAGCTGAGGAGGAAGCTGCAGCCACCTCCTCCCTGACCAGCAGAATGCCCAGTCCTCTCTCCACAGTGGTGTCCACAGCCACAGGGAACTTCCTCAACCGCCTGGTCCCCGCTGGGACCTGGAACTCTGCAACAGTAGGGAACATCTCCCATGTGGCTGAAGGGAACAAACCGCAGCACAGAGCCACCATCTGCCTGAGCAAGGTGGACATCATCTGGATGCTCTTGGCCATCAGCGTGCCCATCTCCTCCTGCTGTAAGTACCTCACCCTCCTCTCCCTCTACCCTATTCAACTTGCTCATTTGCAGAATTCAAGTCCACTGTTGCCCCAAACTGGGCAATCTTCACCATATGAGCTACAAAAATTCCCACAATCACAGCAAATAACGTAGTAAGACAATACTCATAGGTCATTCCTGCCTCTGGTCCTCGGCTCTGCCAGGCCATGATTCTGTGTCCACTTACCACAAAGTCACAGCTCCCAGGAGTTGGGGAGGATCTTGCCGACAGTCGAATCCAACTCTACATTTTACAGAAAGAAGCATCAAGCTAGAGAGGTAAGGTTGCTCATCGACGGGTCCCAGAGCTAGTGATCAGCAGGGCTGGGATATCCTGTCCTCAAGCCCAGTGGTCTTGTCACTGTACCACCCCGCCACCCCCACCCTCAAGGTTGGCCTTTCTCCCTGATTGTCTCTATCAGTGCCTGTAGCAATGTGACATTGAGATACTACAGGTGAAAGTTGACTCTTCTAAATATATATCCTCTAAGTAACAAGCCTTCACCGTCCTCTACTACTCTTTCATCATCCATCTTGTTTTTCCTCTCCTCTCTTCCCTCATCTAATCACCTTTGCCATTTCTTTCTCTCTCTTCCTCCAAGAAAAAAAGAAGAAATGGAACTTTTATTTTGGTGGGAAGTTTTATTAGCCTTGGCAAAAAATATAATTCTTATTGCTAAAATAAGACTTGAGAATAGCACGTGAATTTTACTAGCCTTCCACTTCCAGGTTGTAGTTGTTCATGGGTAATGTAAGCCGGATACAGTGTGGTCCTCAGAGTTGGAGGCATTTATTTCCACTGGTACGCAGGGTCTCCCCCAAGGCTATCTGCAACCCCATGCTGCTGCCCGACACTGTTCATCTAGAATCAGGTGGCTTTCTCCCTGATGCCTCTGTAAAGAGTTCCATCTCTCAGGACCTTTGTTGGTGTGGTTAAGTGCCATCAAATCTGTTCTAACTTTGTATAGGGTTTCCAAGGAGCACCTGGTGGGTTTGAACTACTGATCTTGCAGTTAGCAGTCTAGTGCTATCCTACAAAGCCACACCAGGACCTTCGGACATCCTTTATGCCTTCCCCATATACTTGGCCCTAAATTAGAATCTCTCTGCTAGACTCACAGGAAGCTTCCATACCCCACCCCAAATAGTTATCATTCTACTACCTCCTGAAATCTCCTGGGGATGAGAGCACCCCACCCCACCTCTTACTCACTGGGCAGCCGTTCTCCTTTGCCCTTTCCCGTTACTTCTCCACTACTTTGGAGGACTGACGTTTGCCAGCTTGTAATTTCTGTTCCATGTTCTAAGCCTTACTCTCTGAAAGGCCACCAAAGAAGTCCATGTAACAACCCCGAAACACCTGAATGGCTCTCAAGAGTAGTCTTCTCTTTCCTTCAAGTCTCAAGTCTTCCTCAAGAGACTGCATTGCCCTACCCCTCAGAAGGGCCTCTGGTGTCCCTGTTCTTCACAGGATGCATGGTGGCTTCTTTGTCTGGATACTTGTCCCAGTTGAGGAACCTGTTTTTTGTTTGTTTGTTTGTTTTCTTAAATGATTTATTGTGAATTATGTGATAGTTTTCATGGGAGAACATTGGTTTAACATTCATTCTATCGTATATCGTCTCATTGCCATGGTTACAATCCCCTCCATGCAGTCCTTCCCCCGTGCCCGCCAGGTCTTCAGCACACAGTCGCTCTCCCTCTCTGGATCTAAAGTCTCCAGCTGCTCCATTGCGCCACATCATCATCTCTGGCTCCATTTCAGGCATCACTGCTTCTCTGGGTAGGGTCCTGCTCTCTGCTCTTCTCCCTTGATGGTCCTAGGGACCTCCGCTCCTAGACTGAAAAGTCAATCACTCCCCTCCTTGCTATAAAACGTCTACCTTTACATTTCCAACCCTCACAATCAGTCCTGATAACAATTATTCACTATTGTATCACAAGAGACCCGTCTGCACTTCATTGCATCAGCCCCGCCTAGTCAGATTGAATACTACTCACTGGAGATTCTACCTTCTTGAGGAACCTGTTTTTGCACCAGCTCCTGCTGGCTTTATGAGCTCTCACGTCTCCCCACTGACTCTCACCCCAATCTCTAGTGGAATGAAAGCCTGGAGACTTTTCACAGAGGCAGCTGTTGAACTCGCCCCACTTCCCTACCCCAGCCTTCCTAATTTTCCATTCTTTACGTACGTACGTATAGAATGCTTACATTTACTAAGTGAGCTTCCATTAATATCATCATTCCATCCCCAAAACAGACTAGCCGGAGGAATAAAGTAAAACCAGAAACAAGCAAACAAAGCGCTCAAGGTAGCTCTGGCTGTCATCTACTCCTCCCATGTGGGGAATAAGTGTCCAAGGAAATAGTTGGACCAGAGTCCCAATCACAGAATGGGTCAACCAGATCTGGTGGTGGAATTTGTTTGACTGGTTCAATGTAATATTTGCCGAATGCTCATTCTGTACCAGGCACAGGGAGCCACAAATGTGTGTTGTGGCTCCCTCCCCACTGAACTTCCCTCTTTGTGTGGGCTGGACACACAGAATAGGACTAGTCAGCACACCCACCTAGATTTTGCAATTCTACAAACTCCTACCTCTCTCCAAACCCTTCTGCTAGGTATGAGTTCAAAATCAGAGCAGGAAAGCCTGTGGGTTGCCTAAACCATGTATACAAGTATCAGCCAAGACAGGAGCAAGGATGGAATCTGGAACAGTGCCTCAGGAATTCTGGCACTCTGACAGGAAGCTTCAGTGCTAGGGATGTAATACATACTTTCTAAAGGAAGATACAAACTCTTGTTCAATGTGGACTCTAGATAGCACCTTGGAATCACAGATCCTGCCTCCTTTAGTGTCTGTCTTGTATTTCCACATCCACCTAAGAATCACTCCTGGACTCACCAAGGTACCTGCCTCAGCCGTACCTGCTTTCACATATAGCTCTCCATCCTTAGTCGTGGCCCCTGACTACTGTGGGATCATTGTTAACCCAGTGAAGGCCCCTGTGTGAGCAACATCAGAGAGAAGAATTACTTGTCCCGCTTCAGAACGCTGTGCTCTTTCAAAGCACGGATACGGTGAACATCTAGGCTGTTTAGAGCCCAACCCTCCCTCTACTCCTCAGGCCTACAGACCTACTCATGGTGGCTCTGTCTGTCCTGACTCATCCCCTGCACTGATACCAAAGTGCATTCGGAGGTTTGTTCAGACCAGGACTGGCACTGCGTCTCTTCATGCACCAGATGCCAGAGCTCAAGTGCTTAGAGGTGAACATAGCACATCCCAGGCCTCCACAAGGAGGCACATGCTCAGTCCCACCTGCCCTTCCAGTTCATGATCCCGTCCCCACCCCAGGTTGGAAGGATATATGTTGGTCAGAAGAGAGAAATGCTGTGTCTCCTGAGCCATGCCAAAGACTCACAGCCACACAGATTTGTGGGTGTGCTGAGAACAGAAATTGGTTCGGTCCAGGGTGCACTCACTGTAGCAGGGGAATCTTGTGGCTCCTGAGCTGGACTCTATTGCCACCGTCAGGACATACAGAGCCCACCATTTCCTGCTAGAGGCATCTGGTGCTATCTGTGCCCGTCCACGCTTAAGCATGTCTTCACGTAGCCTCCCCTGTGAGATTTATGGAGGGTGAGAGCAGAAAGCTATGCCAGCTGTTTTTCATGTTTTTCATCCTCGATCCAAGTTGAGCCTGGCCCAAGCAGAAGTGGCACCTCTAGACAGGTGAAGAGCCACTGATACACCTCACCCTAGAGCCGAGCGGCCCCCTGCCAGACATAGGGTAAATGTCCTTTAAGTATTGGTACAGCAAGGAGAGATAACATATCCATATGTCCAATAATGGCTTTGAGGACTAGATTAGTTATTTAGTAAATTTTTGTCAGATTTGAATATATACCTTTTACTCATAGGTCCAAAATTAATTTGTAAATGTTACCTAACAAAACTTGGGTCCAAATTATTCTTATTTTTTTCTTGTAAGTTTTGATTGTGAATTGAGTGGTAGTTTACATGGGAGAACATTGGTTTTACACTCATCGTATTTAGTTTCATTGCAATGATTACAATCCCCTCCATGCATCATCATTCAACAGAATTTGCTTCTATTCCTTCTGGTTTATTGTTGTTTTTGTTGTTGTTGTTTTTTAATGTACACAAAAACACTCAGTAATAAATAATTTAAACCACCAAAAGGCACATTCTGTAAGTCTGCCTTTTGGCTGCTAGCACACAGCCTTTCTCTTCCTATAAGTCTAGAGTTCTCAATTGCTCTCTCTTTCCATGTCATCATCTCTACCTTTATCTCTGGTGTCACTGCTTTTCTGGTTAGGGTCCCACATTCTACTTATGCTCTTCTCCCTTGATGATCCTAGGGTCCTCTGTTCCTTGAATGTGAGATTAACTACTCCTCCCTTTATGTTACAAAACTTCTACCTCTACAGTTGTGACAACTGCAGTTAGTCATGATAACAGTTACTCACTACTGAATCATAATAATCATATTCCCATCTCCTTTCACCAGACCCATCTAGACAAGATGAAAGCTATTCAATGGGGATTCAACCTTCCCCCGCACATTCCAAAATTAAACTCCCTCTTGAAAACTTGTAAGCCAGTCACTTCATACCTTTCTAGGTAGCAAATGTCAAAGTTGCCTGTCCCTATCAACCCTGCATACAGAGGGGATAGGATGAAAACTCCTTCCCTCTCAGTTGGTATTTTGAGCTACTACATTCATAAGTATGGGTCAAGTTCGTCAAATTGTAGCAATTTACCCTTGTTTCCTTAATCAATTTTTTTTTTTTTTTATCTTCTACTCAAGTTGTGAGCATCAAGCCACCGAAGCTAGGTCAAACAGGTACTATCTGCAAGTTTGGGCATTCTTGTGTGTTTCCCCTCATTTCCTATCAGCTGGAAGCTTCACTCTCAGCTCTGTTCTTCTGTGGCTACATCCTTGTCTGT